TCCGCCGTCCGCACGCTGGCAAGCAAGAGCCAAGTGGGTGAAGTGCTGCAGGACATGGTGACGCAGCTGGAGGCCCACCACCTGAACCATGCACAGGTGCACATGCTGCACAGCGACAAACGCGGTGAGTACATCGCCGAGCAACTGCGGCAGTGGCTGTGCCAGCACGGCACCGTGCACAACCACTCGGCATCATACACCCCGGAGCAGAGCGGAGCGGTGGAGTGACTCAACCACATGCTCTTCGGCCGTGTGCGGACGATGCTGCACGACGCAGCACTCCCGGGCAGCTACAGGCCGGAGGCTGTGCTCTACACCAACCTCCTGCACAATGTTTCCCCCTCTCAGGGCCGGGAGGCCACGCCGTGGGCAGCTTATCACGGCATCCCCCCCGACGTCAGCCACCTGCACACCTTCAGCTGCCTGGCCTACGTCCGCATCCCACCCAGCCAGCAGGACTAACTCGGTCCTCGTGCAAAGGCGGAAACCTACCGCCGACCGGAGCACGGCACGGCCACCCACAGCATCCTCATTGAGGGCAAGGTGACCGTGAGCAGCGACGTCACCTTCAATGACGACCGCCACAGCCCGGTTCACAATGGGCGGGCACCCCCTTCGGCACTAGCCCCGCCTGCCCCGGCGGCAGCGACCCCATCGGCAGCTCTACACCGCCCACCAAGCTGCCGACCCCAGCGGCCACCCCACCCCCGGTGACCCCAACACCACCCCTCCACCCCAACACCCGCAGTCAACGGCAGTCCCTGCACACTCCCGCTGGCCCCGGTCAGTGACGGCCCCCCCCTGACAGCAGCAGCAGCGGCGGCGGCGGAGAGTCGGGAAGTCCACCGCTGCTCAGGTGGTAGCGCTGACAGCACGAAGTCTAACGTGCCCGATGGCAGTGGCGGCGGCGGAGGCAACAGTGCAGAGCACACTGCCAACGACATGCTGGTGACGGCGGACAACCTGCAAGTGGTCGCGGCCACCAAGGCAGCCATCGCCGGTTGCTTCACAGTGCGTGACCTTGGCGAGGCGCACTACTACCTCGGCATGAAGATCGTCCAGGATGGCCGCAACCGCTGCATCGTGCTCATGCAGCAGCGCTATGTGGAGCAGCTGCTGCAGCGCCACAGCCTGGAGAATGCCAAGTCGAGCGCCACCCTGCTGCCTCAGGGCATGTGTGCTCTGCCAGCCAGCGACGCCCAGCCGACAGTGATTGATGGCAGCGGCTACCGTGTGCTGGTGGGCGAGCTGAAATACCTCACCACCAGCACACGCCCGGACATTACACACACTCTGAGCATGCTCGTGTGACACATGCCCGTCCCCACCAAGGCCCACATGGGCCTCGTGCTGGGCATGATGCGCTACCTATCCGGCACCTGCACACTCGGGCTGCGGTACCGTGGTGACAGCAGCAGCGACACCAGCAACTTCGGCGGGTACAGTGATGCGGACTGGGCCGGTGACCCAGCCACCCGCCGGTCCACCACGGGCTACACATTCTTGCTCGGCAGTGCAGCGGTCAGCTGGAGCAGCCAGTTGCAGCGCACCTTGGCTGCCTCGAGGCCGAGTACCAGGCCGCCGCAGCAGCCGTGCACGAGGCACTATGTGGCTGCGCAAGCTGGCGGGCGACCTGGACCTGTCACCCGGCGCCATCAACATCCAGCTGGATTCACAAGGCGCGCTCAGCCTCGGCAACAACCCCATCACGTTGGTGCGCTCCAAGCATATCGATGTGCACCACCACATCATGCGTGAAACGGCCGTGCGCGGTGAGGTTAAGCTCAGCTATTGTACCACCAACAACACGGTGGCTGACATTCTCACCAAGGCACTGGGTGAAATCAAGTTCGTGCACTGCCGCACGGTGCTGGGCGTCACTTAGATCGACAGAGCACCATGCGAGGGGGGCGCGGTCCTGCATGATCGTGTGGCGCGCGGTTATTGGTCGGCACCAGAGCTCTATGAGCACGTCAGTTGGAAGGAGTTGCACGCTGTCCATCCTGCAGTCCTTTCTTCCGTTCTTTCAGCAGCGTGTTGTCTTAATCAGTGTGGAAAACACGTGCACTCAAGCAGTGCTAGGGTGTCTTTCCTAGTCGTGCCGTACTGGACGGCCCAACCTTGGTGGCAACAGTTTATGGAGTTGGCGGTTGACCTTGTGTTCCTGCCTTCGAATACGGAGCTGTTTGTGCCGGATGAGGGAGGGTCGAGCACCTATCTCCCCCCCTTCCTGGCAGGTCTGGCAGTGCGGGTTCAGTCGTCTTGTGGGTGCTTTGCTTAGCACTCGGTCGGTCAGTGTGGCGCTGCAATTGCGGGGTCGTGTGCCCCCGAGGTGCGCTTTCCTAGCATTTCATGCCCCCCCTGGGGGCTCATAATATCTTGTAGGGGCAATGGGACCTCAATGAGGTAGCGCCTTAATTGCATATTGTGCAGGGGAGCGGACACACAGTTACGACGAGCGAATAGGAAGGAATTTGTTGTGCGAAGGTGTGCGCTCGGAAGGCACTGTGCAGGTAGTTGGTTTTTTCATCGTGTTGTGTTACCAGCGACTGGAATTCCCCTGATTTCGGAGCGGTTTCGCTTTGCTTGATATCCGATGCTACCGCCGGTTCCAACACCGCTGGTTCTGGACTAAGTTCGAGTACTTCTTTTGGCGCTGAATGGGTTCGTGTGTCTCCATTTCGCGGCCTTGTGTTTGTTGTTTGTCGTATTAGGTCTGTATCTTTTCTTTGTCCGTTTTCTCTGCTGTCGGTGACCTGGGTTCGTGGAGCGGTCATTGTTGCAGACCCGGTGTTTCAGTTCAAGCCCCTAGTTTTGGCCGCTTGGTCACCCCTGAGCGGGCACATGTTTTGGCTTCCTATCGACCCTTCCTTCAGTGGGCGTCCATCAGCAACTGTTGAGTGATCCGTCGCGTCGGTGGCGGTGGGTCAGTCTGTTGGCGCTTTGCGTTTATTTTGTTCCCTCTTTTGCCTGTGTAGAGGTGGCGCGTCCGCCGCCCCTGCTGCTGGGGTGTCGTTCGGAGGTCTTTCGAGGCGTTTGGCTTCGGGAGTTTCGGTGTGCGCGCCTGTCTGGCAGCTCTCACGTCTTTGGCCCTCTTGCGGCTCGGCACGAAGCGCCGTGGTGGTTCAGTATTTCAACCGTTAGAGGGGGTATCTTCTCCTTTGGCATTTGTCTCTGACGCAACAACTTATGCGAGCTTGCGTTAAGTAAGAGGGTTAGTTGGGAGTTGGGAGTAAGTTGGGCGTAAGCCCCAGTGCTGCCCGTGTCCTCAGGGCAGTAATTCATTGCGCGCATTGCACTAATAAGATTATCTTGAATTTGTTGTTTAGCGCGTATGCATTGCTTATACTCACGCTGATCCTCCAATGACGACAGTGTAAGGTAAAGCCTAATGAATTAGCATCTTCATAACAAGAATCTGTCTTTCTTCCTCTATAATGGCGCAGCATTCATTCGCAGGCAAGCAGGGGAAAGCAGGAAAAGGGGGACTAGACGGCACCGGCAGTAAGTGGCCATCATGCAGGTGCATACACTGACATTATGCCTTGTCATTTTACATTCCAAGGACACGAGCAGGAGAATCGCAAGGAATAGGACAAGCGCAAGGATGGTGGTAAGGATATGAACAAGAGTCGGGCTCAAACGGGACGTGGCATGCCACGTAGCGGCCGTTCGGAGGTATGAAGCCTCTGGTTGCACGACCATGGCTATTAACTAAATGCTTTTTATTGCCTTATTTCGAGGCACGTTATGCCGGTGTCACACCTACAGCCGTCATTGTACGTAACATGCTCACAACTATGTGTTCCTGCCTAAACAATGATTTGCTGTGATCCTTTCATATGCAGATATATGCCGTCGTTCGTGAAGATGACATCAGCGGAGGCGAGGATTGAGCGCTTTAATAAGAAGACAATAGTGGCTGTATTGTGGTACATTTACATGCGCTTAACATTTGTGTGTCGATTTTTTCTGACGTTAGACTGTTGGACCCTTTTCCATGGTAAGAGTTGCTGGCTGAGTTGCATCGGTCATGTTAGGATTTGCTATGAATTCGTACCTGTCATTCAGGGATAGTTCAAATGTATGAAGAAAGCAGTGAGTGCTGTGGTTCACAGCTGTGAACCTGCAGGTCATGTGCAACGGCGGTGCACTTTGCACATTGTACAGCTCGTGTACTGCTATTGTAAAGCTTTTGTATTGCACGGTTGGCCGTACAGTTCGCAGTCCCGCACGCAAGTCGCAGTCACTCGCGTAAAATTCAAATGGTAGCACATGCATTCGCAGGATTCGCAGTCGCGTATGCCATTCGCAATCCCTTGCGTTTGGCGATACGCTCGCGTTAAAAGTCACCTGGTCGCGTTTAGGGTCGCGTAAAACTCGCGAATTCATTCGCCACATTCGCATGTGCATACGCATTCGCACCATTCGCATGCGTATGCGTTACACCTATAGCTAAGCTAACGCTCGCGTTAAAAGTCACCTGGTCGCGTTTAGGGTCGCGTAAAACTCGCGAATTCATTCGCCACATTCGCATGTGCATACGCATTCGCACCATTCGCATGCGTATGCGCTACACCTATAGCTAAGCTAACGCTCGCGTTAAAAGTCACCTGGTCGCGTTTAGGGTCGCGTAAAACTCGCGATATCATTCGCCACATTCGCATATGCATACGCATTCGCACCAGTCGCAGCCGCGTATGCCATTCGCTTGCGTATGCGTTACACCTATAGGTAAGGTAACGCTCGCGTTAAAAGTCACCTGGTCGCGTTTACGATCGCGTAAAGTTTGCGTTAGTTTGCGTTAGTTGCTTAAGCTAACGCACTGCCAGCCAAAATTACTCAGCTCGTTCGCATGCGAATAAAGATGATGTGCGTTAGGCCATACGCACAAGCGAACCGGTGCGTTATCAGTGCTTAAGATTGCGTTACATCGCGTTAGCGTCGCGTTAAACTCGCGTTAAAGCCTCGTAACGCGAATTTAACGCGACGTAACGCGATCACCCGTCGTCATAGTGAGTCGGGCATGATGGTGTGTTTAGGCTGCCACACACTTGCTTGCCGTAATTTGCTTTTGGATACGGCACCAGGTCTGTCACCTGACAGGTTGTTCGACGAACTTGATCCGTGTACCCTGCACTGGTCCGCACATCCACCACGGAGCCCGCACCCAGCACGTCACCCTGGATTTCTCGCCACCCAGCTGTCAGCCCCACGTTACCTAATCTCCCGACAGCACCAAGCCTAATTGCTGACATATTTGTAACAGAAAGGGCAAACAGAAAGGCCTCAGGTATCGAAGCAGTCTTGGGAATTCGCTGACAGGTTGGGACTGTGGTTGATTACAAGCAACGGTTACACCACAGAAAGGTGAGGGTCTGGCCTCAGGTATCGAAGCTGTCCTTAGCCGCCTTAAGCGCGGCATGCTTCTCACTGTATGCACTTTTCTCCGCCAGGGGCAACTCCGACTACAGTTTGCCCAGCAGGCTGGAGATGGCATGGCAACATGGCACCTTGTACTTCATATGAATGGTGGTGCCCTGAGAAGTTGCCAACTCATGCTGCTCCTTGCAGGACAGCATGTAAGCATTGGGAATCTGTGCACCCTGTGTAATTGGCTCTGGAAGCACCACCAGTGGTACGCTGCTTCTTGTGTCACCCAACCCCACGACCCTGTTCCACTGGAAAGGTGCCCGACCCTCCCATGACTGCTATTTCTGATGTCCCCCTGCCTGATCCAGCCTCCCCAGCCCTGCCACCGGTTCTGCCAGTTAGTGCCACTGCTGCCGCCTCCCCAGCCCCATTGCCTGTTCCACCAGTCTGCTCTGCTGCTGCTGCCTCCCCAGCCTCGCCAGCCAGAACTCTGCGGAGAGCAACCTTTTGGGCCCCCTTTACAGGCAATTTGTACACATCAGGGTGCACAGGGGTGACAATTGCCTTCAGCTCGCCCTGCAGCTCTTGCTCTTTCACATAATGTTGCAGCTGGTCCAGGCTAAGTTGCTCCCTCTTCTGCACAGCAAGCCAGAACTGTGCAGCCTGGACCACCGTGCAGCAACGCTGTGAGGTGGTCCACATGATGCATTTGTTATAAAGATACTTAATCTCTTGCCAGCACTGCTTGTATCCCTGCCGCCACCTCGACTGGTACTTCTCCTCAAGCTGCAGCAGAGATGGATAGGCACCTGTGCGGCCATAGATGAAGATCTGAAATAGCACCTGGATGTCTGAAAGATCTGGCCATGGCCTGTGCCCTGGTGGCAAATGCTGCAGCTCATCAACCTGCTCATGTTGCTCATCCTTCTCCCACAGCTTGCGCTTTTTATTAGTCTGATTATACAGCAGCTGGATAAGCTCCCTGCCAATGGCGCCGAACTCCTGCCGCCCACTGAATGCCTGCTGGGGGCCCAGCTGCAGACTTATGTGCACACCTAATAGTGGTTCATCATTTGGATGCAGCGGGCGGTTCTGTTCATCCAAATAGTGAAGCACCATGCGGCACTGCTTAAGTGTGGATAACCCCACCTACACGTGAGGATAATCCCAGAAATGAAGGTGTTTTCCTAATGATGTCGACACTGGAGCATCCATACTGTGCATCCACACAGAGCAGCCTTACCTTTCATTCAGTGAGCCACTGGAGCCATTGCCCGCTGATCTCCACCAAATTGTTGCCCACAAGGTCTTGTGCCAGCTTCCCGATGTCCTCCTGCCGCTGTCGAAGGAACTCCTGGTGGTAAGGAGTTCCTTCCTGGTGGTAAGGGAACGTGTGGGTGGCGTGTCAATGTACAACATCCATGTAAGGTTGGCTTAACACAGAAGGACCCCATCCCAACTGCAACAAGCTCTGCTGGCCTATGCTGCACAGAGTATCAGCGGCAACTCCTTGAGAACCGTTATCCTTACCCTGAACTTGTTCATTTGCATTATCTACTGCCCAGTGTCCTGCCCCTGTGCACGTCTTCCTGGTACTGATATCCAAGGTCCTCATGCATCTCTTGTGTATATTTGAACTGGGGCCACCCTCCACTCCCCACATCCATTGCCACGACCACATTTGTGGCGCAACAGATGTGCATGCCTTGGGAATTACCGTGCCATCCACATACACATGCATTTCCACATCACATCTGTGCTTACTGTGCCTGTGGCTCATCATCCTCAGCGGTGTCCACCTCCTCTTCTGCCTCCTTATCCTCATCCTCCGCTGCTTCCGCCGCCGCTGCCGCGGGCCCACCATAGCCACCCCTCCGGCCGCGACCACCACGACCACCGTGGCTACGGCTGCTGTGGCCACGGCCCTGCTGGCCTGCGCCACGCCGACCTCCCCCTCCACGCGTCCAAGCCTGTGTGTGCCCATAAAGTTGCGTGAGGAGGAAGAAGTAATGTCGTCTCACCATGAAACGAAGGAAGTAACGTCATGCACCACGAAGCCAAGGCAAATCAGGTTGAAGTAAGCGAGGGGGCTCCTCTGCTGCATGCTCCACTGCATGCTCGACCTTCTGCCCCGCAGCCGACAGCGCATTGTCATACATATGCTCCATTGCGCGCAACTATATGAGAACTACGTAAGGAATATGAGCTATACCAAACGCTAGGAATTTTAGAGCTGGGAAACAGGCTTGATGGAACGGTTGAGGCGTGATGGAGCTCGTCCACTCTGGACGATAAAATTAAAATGTCCGTCAGAAAAGAGAATTCAACTGTATTGATAAAAATGCAAAATGCATTTGGTGTAATGTGAATGCGGCGCTTGCATGGCCATGGCCGGACGAGAAACGGGTTATTGCGGTCCGGCAGGCGGTACACATGCTCGACAAGCTGCACAGCTCTGCTTTTTTTAGATCTTTGACGTACAAATCATTAAATTACAACAGTTGCATAGTCAAATCCACATTTCTGAGTCGGATATTCTCGTCACCGCTTCCCGAATCCCTTTTTCGGTCGCCTCGACACGGTCATATGGTCATTAGCTTTGGTTTGACTCCTGCGATATTCCAAGCTGTTATGGATCGTCAATCTCAATCTTTCATTCATAAATTACTTATTATTATTTGGGTGACATTCTGGTCTTTTCTAAGACGCGTGCGGAGCATCTGCAGCATTTGGATTGTACTTGTCCGCCAGGTACTGCGGCGCCCACCGATAACCTGCAGAGCTGCGTAAGTCTTTATAGTTGACGAATTGCTTCCGTAAGCTTACTGAGCGGTATTCTGTGATCACTTCGCCCTTGACAATCTGATGACACGTAAGAGGGAGCGTTTTTTTGGACACCCGCTGGGTTGTGTCAGCATGCAGGTGTTCGATGCTTCACTGTTAAAGCGTGCTGTCACCGATCGATGACATTATCCTGAGTTTACCTGAATTCTCGTTTTGAAATTCTGTTCCGTGTTGAGGTAGTATCTGACACCTCTTGCTGTGGGTAATGCTGTCCTGTTGCCATCCTGTGGCGTTTTGGGTGGGGGTGATAACCTACAGCAGAATCTGCTTGCTGTTTTAATATGCACTGAAGGAGCAGCGCTGCTACCTGGAAGGCAGGCCCTTCATTTTCGTAAGCCCCTTATGTTCCTGCAAGGGGTGCCTACCCTGAACCGCCGCAGACAGGTTAGGTGGATGGAATACCATGGGACTGGGAGACATGGTAGTACACGTCTGGCTCCCTTAAATTTGCTGATGCTCTCTATAGGCACCTTTCTCTGCACGCGGCCATTTTTCTGTCATGACATGCTGCACCGCTGTCTGTTGAACTGCTGTTAGTTGTGCTTTCCAACTTGGCCTCGTGTATTGAACCTGCCACCACCACTGACCCTACATTTACTGAAGAACACAATACAGGCCACGTGGTCTGTAGCTTCGAAGGGAGGGCTCTTGTCAGCAAGAGATTGTGCCTGATAATGATGCCGTGATCTCCCTTCCTGTTTCCATGATGGACCGTTGGCGGAGCACCCTGGCTGCACGCAGATGGTGGCCTCAGATGGCTAAGGATGCGAAGAACTACGTTCTGTCCTGTGAGCAGTTCCAGCACAACAAAGCTGCATCAGGTTCCCCTGCAGGGACTCCTGCAACTCTTGCCTATTCCTGCGGCCCCTTAGGAAAGTGTGTCTATGGACTTCATTGTTGCGCAGCTCAAAGCTTAGGGGAAATACGGTTGACTGACTGATGAAAATGCTTTCATCTCACTGCACCCACCATGTCGTCCTGCACTGCTGAGCATGCTGAACATTTATCCTCTGACAACGTGGTGCATCTGCAAGGTGTTCCCAGATATGAATCGTCTGATCACGGTACCCAGTTCATTAGCAATTTTTGGGATGCTGATGCCCTGGGAACGCTGGTAGACACTGGTAGCTCTTAGCGGGATCTTTACGGATGTCTCACTTCTGCTCACCGAGGTGGATTTTACTCGAAAACAACATAATAATATCCATCCATTTGCCCGATTCCCATTTGGTATCTTTCAATACCACCATTGTATGGATTCAGGTTTACAACAATCATGGTAGGTCTAGGTAGATCTAGAGGTGCACAACGGTGCCCCCGCCGCTTATGCATCTTGTGACCTTTTTCCTTGGTTGTGTAGTAGCTGGCCGCTGACAAGGTGGTGTCGGCTTCCTCGAAGCCGGAAAAAGGGCTGACCCCTTTATCCCGTACAGGCCCATTGCTTAGCCGCATGTGTGCAAATTGCTGGGCTGTCTCGCTGTGCAGAGAGCGGTTGGGGACGCCAACGCACTTTGCAAGCGCAGTCCGTAGGCCGACGTTACAAGAGCAGTCGGGAAGCTAATCGGTGGAAATTCGCGCGTGTCAGTCACCGATCCAATAGGGGATGGAAAGTACTACCGTCGCGTGAAGGGGAATCGGAAGTACCATGCGCGAGGGTGATGTGAGTTTCCTGGATTCCGGGTGCATGCCAATACGGCGGCCAGACATGGACATCACTTCAGCAAGTCTCCAAAAGGTTCCAGAAGTAACAGCTTACTGAACGCATTTCGAAGTGTGGACACATCCGATTACGGAAGCGCCGGCCGGTGAAGATGAACGCGCAAGAGCGGACAGCGCCATGGTGCTTCGGTGCGGCCCTCGACGGTCCTAAAATTTGCGTAGTTTTGTGCATAAAATCACGCATCCCATTAGGGAAACACTAATCAAATCGGAACCCCAGCACGATGCCTTCGGCATGGCAAGCCGCCGCAATGGTTGCAACTTGCGGAGAGATGCAAGTTGCATGCACGATTCGCATGACGTCGTCAACGGCATGTCCTTCAATAAGAAACACGGTATTGTATGGACCGAAATATAGCGCGAGAAACGTTGATGTGACCATAACCCCGGTCCATGGAGACCGGCAAATTTGTTTGTGCTCATACGAATTTTGTCAGCTAGGGCGACATGTCATACAATATGGAATGTTGACGGCTTTCGATATTGCGCTTTAGCGGGGCGAGATATTATGTTTGGTCGTTATGATAAACGCGGCCACACGACGGGGGCTTCGAGAAGCCGACACTACTTCGTCTGAGCAGGTCCCCTTTGGCCCCACTGTCCTTTGCACAGCATCTAATGCCAAGTCATTGCATTATTGTGGCTACAATGGCTATAATGGTTTTCTCCATTGCCCACCAGTCCAAATGGTTTTAAGGCACGGCAGGGCTGCTGCCGCCAGCTGTCTGCAGCGTGCCCCTGCCCCTGCCTTGGGAGTCCAATATATACTCGAAACCTCCTACCTAAGCCTGCCGCCCATGAACCCGGGTGCTTACTTGCAGCATGGCAAACTGCGCTGTTGTAAGTTTGTTTGGATGTTCCTTGATGTACGGGAGGCTATTGGAAATTCCGTTTTTGTCCTCGCACTGCTATTGTGCCTCTACCCTGTGGGTCTCGGACATTATCGAGAGAGGTGATGATAAGATGATGTGGAACTGCAAACAGTGTTGAATAATATCATGATATGTATAGGTCATTGTGTTTACAGAAACACATGGCACACCAGCCCCACTAATGGCAGCCGGAACATTCATAAACTAAAATGCTCCACACACGGCTGATCCGAACAGATTTATTTGTGCCTAAGCGCGATGGAAAGGGAACAACAATCAGCCATGATATATTGAGCAGTTTCAAGCCCCAATCCAGGACAGGCGATTTATGCATAACCACCCAGGTCAAGACAACGCTAGCCCCGAAAGAAAAGAGCAGGGAGGGCCCAAACGTCATTCACGCACATTCCAGGAAGCACACACAAGCAACACACGGCACGCCATTTCACACGCTATACCTCCACCCATGCTATATCTCCACAACAGAACAAAGCGTGCATGCATGCATACATACAGACTGACCAGGAACTAAGTTGATGCGCCGTTGATCCGCTAGATTTGGTTGGATGCTGGTGGTGAGTTGCCGAACCCAACGAATACATTCTGAAGTCGGATGGGGTGACGGATTAGGGTGCCCCTCTAGCAGGGGAGAGCAGGGACTGCCCCGGGAAAGGGGGCCGCTGGCGAAGTTAACCACCCTGTAACAACATACATACAGACAGGCAGGCGGCTGGCAGAGGTTAAGGCCTGACTTCTGCTCCCAGTCGACCCAGTCGACCCGGGTTCAAATCCGCCTGCCGGCTCCTCGGGTGTTTGAGGAGTGATGAAATGGGAGGTGGCCCCCCATCTTATGGACGGTGTAGGACGTGATAATATCAACTTGCGAGCTGACCAGGAACTAAGTTGATGCGCCGTTGATCCGCTAGATTTGGTTGGATGCTGGTGGTGAGTTGCCGAACCCAACGAATACATTCTGAAGTCGGATGGGGTGACGGATTAGGGTGCCCCTCTAGCAGGGGAGAGCAGGGACTGCCCCGGGAAAGGGGGCCGCTGGCGAAGTTAACCACCCTGTAACAACATACATACAGACATGCAGGCTGCTAAGCTATGCACACCTATGCAGGCAGTACTAGCAAGCTCCCCAGCAAGAGCAAAGCGAGAGCGGGGTAGACCGAGAAGTGCCAAATTAGGCAACCTCTACTACTTACTGCAGTCCGTGGAACATTCATCAGGCAGCAGCAAAGCAATGCAAACTGTTCGGCTAGAAAATCATGACGTGCTCAAGGCACAGGCAAGTAGGTAGGCGCTGCCTTTGATATCAACACCGCAATCGCCCACCTCCCCCCCTGCAGCAGGCCATGATGCTAAGTTAAACCCCCTACCCTTCTCCCCACCCATAACCCTGAGTTGCCGCCATCATGGCCAGCCAACCCTATGCTGCGGCCCCTTTAAGTGAGCGCTGGTCATGTAAATCGTGCAGGAGAGACGTAACGGGGTCCCGAAGAGGCACTCCAAGTCAAAAGCCGCAGGCAGAGAAGAAGGGAGGAAGGACGGCTTCCGGACGGCTGATCCAGCAGCCATGCCAACAGCGGAAAACTGCCTACGTTGGAAACTCCCTCATCGTGCGGCGGCGGCGCCAGTTAGACCAGCAGCAGTGTAAGCAAGGTCGCAATCATAATAACTTATACCCGGGATTGCCGATGAAATGGCTTCACGCAGCGTTACGAGGACAGCTGCATCATGGGGGCCCCCAACTGCCCAGATGCACACAGCACCTTCCTGCCAGCCAAGCAACCCAGCCCCCTCTTCAGCGCCCACTGATGCTGCAGACGCTGCAGCAGCACAGAGGCGCTGCAGCTGCGTACTCGCTATTGCACGAGAGAATACATAAATACAAACACGCAGTCAATAGCTTCAAGAGCCCCAAACAAAACCATTGCCGGCCGGGCTGAAAAGAAACGAGCTCATCACCAAATGCTAGTTACACACGCACACACACCCTAGCAAGCCCCACAGCACAACCAACAGCACCCGCAGGCACCACAACTCGTCTAGCAGAGCTCTTGCAGTTTTCCTGCAGACCAACGCGCAGAACCCTAGTCACAAAGCAGCTGCAGCATCAGCAGCAGTGGCTTCGTCTTCGAGAATAGGCTAGCCCACCGTGGACATAATACGCTCATCACGTCCCCCACACTCCAAGCTTTAGTCTTATGACTCGCAAACAGCCATCCTGCGCCTGCCTGCCTACATTTGTCCAGAAATACAGATAGTAAGCCATTCTGCAGAATCAAGTCCCTCATGATGCAGCCAAAAAGCAGATATACTCCTGCCAACACAAGCCACACCTGCTGCAACCCGAAGCATGACTCTCCTAAAACATCAACTGTAATCAGGTATATCGACCCACAAGCGTGAACTAGAAGCATCTTCTAATGGTGACGGAAACGCCGCCTCCATACAAATCAAGCCAGCACCCCCGAATCGTTCACTGATGTACGGCCTCGCCTTGCACCTATGGCCAGCAGGTTCAGATGACGACCGTGTCTCGATTCGGAAGTATTTCTGGACAAAAAGTTCGGATAAACTGCGTTTACCAAGCACCAAGCTTAAAGCTGCGCAATTCGAAGCACGTTCGTTCAATGCATCTCCAACACTTCCTTATAGGACTCACACGCATGTGAAGGGATGGGGGAAAGGGGGAAAAGGGGAAATGCTCAAAAATGGAGAGAAAGCTCCCCATCCATGAGCTGAGCCGCAAGAAGGGAAGTGCTGCAATGGCTCCCTAATTGTTCGAATGTCCCAAAACAACTTGAACCCACCATCAACATTCCCCACCAGTATACCCAACTAACCCAGAACAAGCAGAGCTCCGAGGGGGCCTGCCTCGTCGATGGCATTCACCGCAGGAACCGCTCCGAGTGACTCCAGGTCCGGAAGTACCAGCAGGTCCAGGATTCGCCGTGTGAAAGCGCTCAGAACGTCCCGAGCACCACCTTGAGAGCAACGTCTTCCGAAACGCGATGCGGTAGTGTGCTGGAGGCGTTACGGCTTCCCCTGCCAACAGTCAGCTTCGCTACGGCTTTCCCTGCCATCAATCCGCAGGACTTCCCCCTCCTCACCATCAGGTGCGACAACGACCAAACAGGGGACCGACACCCGCCCCCATTATATCACCAGACGCCACCCCACGTGTCACAAGCTTGCATGCGCTTGAAGTCACACATGCAACAGCACCATGCATACAGACGAAACGCATCACCAAAATTGATAAGTGGAATAGAGCCACATAGATAGACCGCTACATATCTTGATCTAGATCAAGTGAGGTCCGGATTTCGTCTTGTAGATCTACAACACGAAATCCGGACCTCACTCAAGTGACCTACTTAGGAATGCTTCCAAGCGTCCAAGCTTCCCGAAGAGCTTTCCAAGTGACAGGGAGGAAGGGAGGGGGAGAAAAACTCAGGGGAGGAGGAGGAGGAGGCTGAGAGTTCAAGAAGACAGCCCAAAAGACGCAGACCCCAGGGCGCAAGTATCAAACGTGCATACCAAAAGAGTCAGACAGGGAGGGCCCTAATGCTCTGGTGTCTGTGCGGCATTCACACGCTTTTCACTTTCTTTGTTCGCCGCCTCCTTCTCGTTCAAAAGTCCTTGAACACTCGGTCCCACTCGGCCATCTCCTGCGGTGACGCGTTCGCGGGCTCTCGGGGCTCGGCGCGGTGCGCCTCCGCGAGCTCAGCCTTGCGCTTGGAGCTGTCCGTTTCCTTGGGCTTGCGGGGCGGGTCCATACGGCGCGCCGCTAGGGCATCCCAGTCAAAGCCCGCGAACCAGGGATGCGCCTTGATGTCTCGGGCGCGGCCCTGTGATAAGCGGTTGTCATGCCGCAATTTGTTGAATGTCCGCGTCATGGCGGGAAGAGCAGGCGCGGGTTTCCAAATTATCACCTCGATACAAAAAAAGGCGGGAAACCTTTTCAAACCGGTCCTAAAAGGAGCGATAAGAGGCCATAACGAAAAGGAAGAACGATGTCATTTAAAAAATATGCTTCAAAATGTGTAAACCAAACGTCCACAGCGTTTTTTTTATCCCTTTAGTGCTTTGTGCGCTCATGGACAGTTGGCAATTTGCGCCATCATCTTGTCGCTTTAAAACGGATTGGTGCAAAACACCCTCCCTATGGGAAATCTGGACCACACACCTGCATCATGCCGATGCGCTTTACGGGTTTACGCTCCAGCAGCTTGCTAATCAGGTCGCGCGCCTCGTCCGACATGTACGGCGGGTACTTGATCGGCCAACGGTCGTCCACGATACGGCGCATCACCTCCATGGGGTCTTGTGTCTTGGGCGATGTGAAGGGCTGCCGAGCAGTAAGGACCACGTACATGAGCACACCGAGCGTCCACCTGCAAGCACCAACGAACAACCACAACCGAACGAATGAATCTAAAACACCAACCACCAACCCTCAACCACCATGGTCGATTGATCAAAAGCAGGCAAAAGGCGCAGAGGCAGGCGTCTTTCCTGGGCAGCAGCATGGCCCAATGCATAAACCGGGCCTATGCACAGCTCTAGTTGCATTGTAACTTGTAACCACCACCCGCAACCGACAACCACCTACCAGTCCACTGAATGGTTGTAGCCTCTCCCCAGGACGTTCTCGGGGGCCACGTAGCCCGGGGTGCCGCAAAATGTGTATGTACGGCCACCGGCATCCATCTGCTTGGCGAAACCAAAGTCCCCCAGCTTCACGTAGCCCTGCTCGGTAAACACACGGGGAGAGAAGGGGGGAGAAGGGGGCAAGGGAAGGGAGGGGGACAGGGGAGGGGGGAAGGGGAATGGAGGGGGACAGGGGAGGGGGGAAAGGGGAAGGGAGGGGGACAGGGGAGGGGGGAAAGGGGAGGGGAGGGGGACAGGGGCAAGCCATGTTTGGAGGCAGATGGGGTTTTTGGTCGGATGAGGTTAAGACAAACCACAGACAAGCGGAGCTGACACCAGGGATAGACAGGTACTCCATGAATAGACGGATGGATACTGCATCAGGAAGTTGTTAGAAGTTACCAAACAGTGGCGACTTGGGAAGTAGTCATCAGGGTCAGGGAGAAGGGGGAAGGGGATAAAATTCTACTACCAAGCAATGTTGCATTGCGTTGCGGTTCCAACCAAGTGTACTGCAAGGCTTGCAAAAAATCCTGGCAGACTCGCATACCGCCTCCCGGATTCGGCACACAGCTCTGGCCCCGAACAATTACTATATCCCCACGCCCCGCCTGTCCGTGCGTCCAGTTTCCCTTTCCCCCCCACTCCCGCAGTCCCACTCTGAAATGGACGTGACCTGCCCGTCCCGTCCCGTGGAGCTGTGTGAAACAGACACAGCAGCCCCCCATCCAACAGCTCCCAACCCTGGAGGTCTCCGTTTAAACGCCCCGGAGAATGAGGCCCCTCAGTTTTAAGTCGTCGGAAAAAATATCAAATCACCCTTGACAACACATTACCACAGCAGCAACGCAGCAGTCCTCATCGATGGCTTCAATTCTGGAATCGACGAGCAAGTTGATCTAAATATAAAGCCAATGACGAATTTAATTCCATCGCGTCCCGGATCCCGAATTCAAACCTCGTGTTCAATCCACTCCCGGTTCCCAAAAATTTGTAACCTAAAACCTGGACACCATTTCGAATCCATCGAGCATCATCCAACCTGTCCATCAATGAGCACGTTCTCGGGCTTCAGGTCGCGGAAGGCGATCCCATTGTCGTGCAGGTACTCAAGCGCCAGCACGATTGAGGCGACGTAAAATCGCGACATGTGCTCCTCCATGCCCTGCCACATCTTCATCTTGGGCGCCAGGCAGCCCTTGCGAAGACTGTTCTTGTCTGCGATGGGGTACTTGATCACCTGGGAAACAAAAGGAGTTCGACCCCGGAGGTGGGGGGGGGCAGGGGTGGGTGGTTGCACATGGCGCCACAACGAGCAGTAAGTGGGTGGTAGTGGTAGTGGTAGTGGTAGGATTCGAACAGGTGACGGCGTCTTGCGATGATGAGGGAGAACGGTAGAACGCCCCTCCCATGACGGAGAGCTTCGACGGTCGCACCCACGGGGCAAGACGAACCACGAACGAGCGAAGCTGATGCCGCGGGGGCGGGTAGCGGCCACAACGGTCCAGTGAGATATGTAAAAATTACGCACACACATACACAGACAGACAGACAGACACATTACCTTGGCCTCCGCCACCAGCACATCCATCAGATCGCCTCCGGGCATCAAGTCGAACAACATGTACAAGTGGAAGTTGTCCTAGCAGGAGACGGAGGGCAGGAGGGCGGGGAGGAATGAGAGGAAGTCCGGGTGGAGGTGCTGGAAGGCCGGGCGCAAGGGTGTGTGACTATCCAGTGGTGGTGTCGGGCCTTCTTTGTTAAAAACAAAATACCCCAGAAAACATAGCACGGTGTGCACAGCATGCACAACACGGCGGGGGGGCGCTTTTGCCCATCCATCCTCTACACTTACCGCACGCAACAACAAACCGACACGGCCTTCTTCCCCCACAACACCTAGCTCAACAGGCCCCCCAAAACCCCGCGGGAGATCCAAAACTTCCAAAACCAATCCCCCACTCCCGCCCGCCCGCCGGCAGCAAAAATGCCAGGTGGATAACATTTCTCGCATCCTCCCCCGTCGCCCTCTTCCTCACACCTTGAAGGACGCGTACTGCCGCAAACAAAACGGGTGCGCAATGTTCCGTGTGATGTGCTGTTCGCAAAACACGTGATCCGGACATTGCAGAGCTGCCGACTTGGCCATTCGCTTGAGCGCAAACACACGGCCGGTGGACTCCTCTGTGGTGCGGTGCGGGGGGTGGGGGGCCGGGAGGTTGGGGGATGAGATTTGCGTTTCAGGGGTTCAATCAGGCAGGTAGGTGCAGGTAGGTTGCGCGTTGTGTAACGCACAATCCTCCCGTCCTTACAAACCCCTAATGAGCCGCATCTCAAATGTCTCCCTTCCCCCAGTCACCTCCAGCCCGGTCACCTCAAACTATTAGGCGCTATTAGATGCCCAGTCCGCTACTTTCCCCCCTTCCCCATCAGCTCCCGGTCCCCCTCCTTCCCCCCTCTCGCCCTCACTCACCCGTCACCCTGCACACGCGGCTGAAGGCCCCCTCCCCAAGCAGCTCTCCCTCCACCAACACCAGCTTCTTATCGACATCACGTTGATCGTCTAAAGAGGGGGGAAGATTAGGAGCACGAGAAGGGGGCCATCTTCAGCAATAAGTAAAGAGGGGGAAAGGCGAACCACAAACGAGTGAAGCTGCTGAGGGGGGAGGAGGGACGGAGGTGAGGAGCTCAGCGTCGTAAATTGTCACTGGTTCACAACAAGTCTAGAACATCGCTTCGCTCCAAAAGATCCTCCTCCAAAGGATGACCTAGAGAGAATTTGGGACGATGTATTCTAGACCCTTCTACATGCGCACATGCACCGTGTTGAGGGCCCAGTATTCCTCATTTCCACGCTCGTTCACACCGCCACCATATCCACACCGGAGACCCACCCGTCATTTTCGCCCCTCCCCTCCTGAGCTCCACCACCTCGTCCATATGGCCATCACACACAATGATCCGCTGCGGCCCCGTAAACTTGATCAGCACCTCCGCGCCTGGCCGCCGGTGTGCGGCACTGCCCTGCGGCTTCAGCTTCGCCATGCGCTGGTTGACCACCTGTGAATGAGTGCGTGGGGGAGAGAGTGGGTACGTGGATGGGGGAGTGGGGGAGTGGGAGAGAGAGAGTGGGTACGTGGATGGGGGAGTGGGGGAGAGAGTGGAGCGTGGATGGGGGAGTGAGGGTACGTAGGAGGAGGGGGGTGCGGGCGGAGATACCAGCACCAGATGCCACACGATGTGCAAGTGCTGCGGGAGCTACATGACACGTGACGGCACGGAATGACCCCCATAACACGGTTCGCAAACGCCGACGAGCAAACATACAGACATACATACACATCCAGGCACACACGCATACACCCACCCATCACGGCCCCCCTCACGACGCCACAAGGTAGCTACAGAGCACTCCCCCCATCGCCACCAGCATCGCTCCCCGCCCACCCCGAAACAGCCGTCACCCCCCCGACCTCCCGCTGGACCTCCCTCCGCCGCCTCACCTCCGGGCTCTTTTCCTTAGCCATGATGTCCTGCAGCGGCCCCAGCACCGCCACGAAGGTCCTCCGGTCCAGTGTCAGACACACCAGGGGCGTGATCGCGCGAACCGTGGCGCGACTGTGTGCATGTGTGTACACATGTGCGTGTGTTTTCGGGTTTCGGGGTGCAAAACGTCACGGGTTCGAAATTATGGGGTTGGAATTCTTTTTATAAAAGGTTGTGGGGGAGCTCATGTCAGATTATGTCCCAGTCATGTTCCATTTTCCCCCCAACCCTAAACGATCACACCCCATCCCGTCTACCCAACGAAACCCTAAACAGCTCAGATCCCCAAAGCCAACAACTGCGTGTGTTTTCGCCTCCCAACCGAAGCCTCAAGCCCTCCCACCCCTCCCATCCCACCTCCCGCGTGAGGTCATTATGCGCCCCTCGTAGTGCACCTTGCAGCAATCCCTCCTCCACAGAGCAAACCCCTGTAAAACCCTGTAAAACCGCCTTACCGTGGTTCATCTTGCAGTAGCGCCTGCTCCCCAAAAAAGTCCGATCTGAAGAGCCTGTTCACCTCCTTGCCACCCTGCAACACCTGCGCCTCCCCCTCCTTGATGACGTAAAACTTGTCACCAAGACCGCCCTCCACAATCACGTCGCATCCCGCTGTGGCGAGCGAGAACGCAAAGGGACGCACATGCGTCAATTTCGGTTTGGTTTCGGAGACAGAGATGCCATGCGACCGGGACAATTAACGAGAGAAAAGAGAACTCCTTTCCCTCCCCCCCTCCCTCCCTCCTTTCCCTCCCTCCTCCCTTTCCCTCCCTCCTCCCTTTCCCTCCCCCCCCTCCCTCCTCCTTCCTCCTCCTTCTCCCCCTTTCCCCCTATCTCCCCTGACCTTCAAACGAGTCCTCCGCGAATGCGTCCACCAGCTTCATCTTCTCATCGCGCTGAAGGGACGACAG